AGAGAGAGAGAGAGAGAGAGAGAGAGATTCACCAGTGGTGGACACAGCGCCCGATGTGTTGTCAGCGTAACCGCCGGCCCCTATGATAGGACTGTCACCCACTCGACCGACCCGTTTGCCAGTTATGCCGCCCGTAGAGGTGGCCACAGCGCAGTTGCCTTCCCGATCCACGGCCACAGCGCCCACTGTGTCGTGCTCTTTGACCACAGGGTTGTCAGCACCGGGTGTCGGGTGCGAGTGGTCAGAGGGGTCGTCCGTTTGGGGCCGATCTTCAATTAATGTTCGCTGAAATGTCTTGAATTCATTCAAACGTTTCTATCAATTAATTCATAAATAAACAAAAAAGTTATCAAAACTTGTACTCAAATCTAGTGTCTAGTGTTGTGCTGCCTCTGTATATGACATACCTGTGCGAACTCGTGCACCAGTGTCTGGTTGTCTACTAACTCGATGCCCACCTCCTGCGCCAAGCGCTCGGCACCGGCGCCTATCATCAGGCAGTGGTCGGTGCTGTCCATCACAGCCCTGGCCAACGATATCGGATGCGGGACTCGCTCGACACCGGCCACAGCGCCCGACTTCATTGTCCGGCCGTCCATCACAATGGCGTCGCACTCGACAGTGCCGGCGCTGGTCAGCGATGAGCCATAGCCTAAATACAAAAAAACAAACATGATCATTCAACAACAAAAAACTCATAAAAACTATGTAAAACTAACCGCAATTCATGATAGGGTCGTCTTCGAGCGATCGGACGGCTGCCTCCACGGCCTCCACAGCCGTCCCACCGCTGGCCAGCACTCGGTAGCCGACACGTGCGGCCAGTTTAACGCCGGCCAACTTGAGCGGCACGTGCGGGGTCGCCGACTTTGCCGCTCCGCCGTGTATTACAATAAGCATAGCTTGTGTTAAAAGGAACTAAACGTACGGTAGAAAAAGGGAGCAAAGGTTTACCTGTGAGGGTTGACTCAGGGTTAGCTTAAGGGTTAACCTTAAGGTTAAGTTAGGGTTAAAGGGAAGGGTAGGAAGTTCTAAAAAATTAACTAGATGGTGCGGGTGGGTGAACGGGGTGGGGGTTAGACTTGTAGCTGTTGTTTGATCTCGATCTCGGTGTCAAACAGTTTGCGAGCAAAGCGATCACGTTTACGTCTCAAATATTTTAACCGTAATGTTTTCACTTGATAGCCAAACACTGATCCCAAACCAAACGATAGTAACAGTAGTACTGATAGCGAACGTCCGGATAGATTGAAATGCATAGCGATTTACAGTTTGTATTTGTTATGATCAAAACATCTAGATCTATGATTTATGTGTTTTTTACATAGATTATTTTTACGCACTCATGATTAATATAATTAACACACTTTGTGGTGGCTTATATTTTAGTTTCACTTGTTGCCAACTATTAATTAAATGCACATGATTAAATAATTTAATAATGACAATTATTGTATTATGATGAAAAAATATGAATTATTTTGTAACTTTAAAATTAACACTTTTTAAATCAATAGAATTACGTTTAAATCAATGCTTTTAGTATAAATATAAAAAGGACAACACGTTTATAAATAAACATAAAATAAATGTACATGTTAAGTAAATATCATATTATAACATAGATGGTGCTGATCACTAAACTAGGTGGATATGGATAGAGAATTTGGTAGGAATAGTAAAATAAAACATAATTTTATACTTATTTTGTTTCAAATTGAATTTATTTTTTAAAATAATATTTTGCTCTCAATGTTTTAATTAATCATATTCATTCATTGGCTGAATTATCTCTATATAATATTGTATAATAAAAATATGCTAATATAAAGATTACATTGATTATTTTTCTAAGTAAAAAAGTGTAATTAAAATTACTAGTTTATATAATTGAACATGATAGCTAAAATTTATACGTTATTAAATATAGCTAATATAATTTTATTAAATTTTAGAAGTACATATTAATAATATTTTGTTTGTAATATTTAATAACAATTTAATTTAAAAAAAAATAACAGCAAGTGATTTAATTTTATTTATAAAATTTAGTTAAAAGATATTTATTACAAAGTTTATTGCTTAAAGTTAATATATATTTAATATTGTTTAAAAACTGTAAAATAATATTATTTATTATAATCATTTTTATATGTGATAAAGATTTTAATTTAATTGGGGAAGTAGTCACTCCTCTGATGAATATTTTATAAACAATTTTTAAACACATTTTATCACATAATTTTAGTGTTCATTATTAAAATATTTTAAATTCATATAATAAACAATTTACAACATGTATATTGGTAATTAATACACTTAAATATAAGTAAAATATTTATATAAAATAAAAATATTTACAGAATATTCTGCTGACAATACAATCAAACCCTATAATTACTATTAGTATGAAGTGATCGCCAAACCAATAAATTTTCAATAATAACTGATTTAATACGCGATTTATGCCAAACATTGATCTCAATGAATAGGAAATACGCCAAATGAGAAATAACATACACCAAAAGTACCAAGAACATATCAGACTTATTTTCATATAACAAATGCAGCGAGCTAATAAAACACATATGTATAAACGTAAA